ACGATATACGTTCAGTTGGCGCCACATATCCTCCGCGACAACAATAATATTAGACTGTCGTTGCGATTTTTTTCCCCTCGACATGATTGGCGGAGAATAAAAAGATCGCCGTCTGTTCGAAAGAGATCTGACGCGACGAATGTCTGGTCGATGCAAACGATAAGATTTGTCTAGAAACCAGGTGATCGTGCCAAGACGATTCATATTACGAATTTCTTATCAAAGAAGATATTAACTATTCGCATAACTTAGAGTAAAAATTAAATCGATTCCTCTATGATTTATCGATAATAATAAATTAAATCTTCGATTTTGATCGTTCTCTTCTTGGCTGGAAAATCCAAATGAGAAGTAAACAAATATTTTCATTCTCCAGACGCCACTCCAGACGTGATATTTTGCTTATCAACGGCGCCACCGTTCCAATTATCGATTTTAAATTAAATTCATGGACGTGGAATTATCCGCGTTTTTGATCGATCGAATGATTTTGATAAATTCATCTGAATCGAACTATTTCTCGAGATGTTTGAGAATAATTTAAATAAAATGATAAATGTTCTGTGTTGCGCTTATGAAGATTAACGCATCGCCTTAAAATGCAAAGATAACGAAGGATTTAATTTAAACGCTATCATTGATATTTACACGATAGTATTTTCTCGACTTGACGATACCATTTAACGAACTATTCCAAGATGTAAAAACTTTTTCAAGGGTTTAAAAGGATATACCTGAAATTCACGCATGATGTTTGAAATTCTTACGAGAAATTAAATCGATACGGTTTGTTCAGTAATCGCGATAACGTAAATCCTGAAGAGGGTCGATGATTGCGCGAGGGTCATCCAATTCACTCGCTCGCAATGCCGCTTCAAATCCGTGAAACAACGGTGGACTATTTGTCGTCGGTTGATTCAATGGAATTTCCGATTAATGGGAACGTGGACGTCATCTACAGGCTCTTTTGCTCGATCCAATACATCACAGGAAAGATGAGGTGCTTCAGAATCTGTTAAACAACGAATTATACTTTTTTGTTATAAAATACAAGCTAAAGGAAAAACATTAAAAAGCTAGAAGTATTTTTAAAAGAAACAAAATGTGTAAGCATAGAATAAAAAACTGATATATCATATACAATAAGTAAAAAAACTTAAAAATGAAAGAGAAGAAAAGGTAAAAATGGGGAAAAAATGAGAAGATAAGATAAAAACATTCGTTTGCAATTGTTTCATCTAAAATAACCACGAGCCATTTTCATCAAGAATATTATCAAATTGGACTGTAAATCAGAACGCCTAAAATGAATAATTTGCAACTGCCAATCGTTCTCTCTGTTTATTATATATATTTGAACAATTGACGCGTGCAATTGCAGGCCATCGGATATGTGATAGTGACAATGACGTTTTCTCTGCAACCATTGATGCGATACGCGTGCGCTCGTCTTCAAGGCTTGGCCCGTTTAATAGTGGCGGATTGTTTCCTGCTGCTCAGCTTCCTGGGCACGGTGAACGTTTGGCGTGGTATCTGGAACGTGTTGGATCTGTGGCTGGTACCGGACAATCCAGAGATGTCCTGCTGGATCACTCATGTCGGGTGCTTCGTTTTCCTCGTACTTCTCAACTGCAGCAACTCGATCCTCGTTCGCGGCGTTTACATCGACGCCGAGGAGGATGATGGCAAGTGCGTCGTATTTCCTTGCCATTATCTTCGATTGTTCTTCAAGGTTAGTGATGAGATAAGATTTTGCTCCAATTATACGTAAAAATCAACGTAATACGTAATTCATAGAAGATCGTCACATGTATCAGAGATAAAAAAAGAATTTTCATAATTGAATTTTAATCATCGATCAATTTTATTTGACATCAGTTTCAAAAAAAAAAAACTAATCTAATTGAATAACGCCCGTTTATTTTCAGATCGAACGCGAGAAGAAGGAAGCGAGACGACAAAACTTGCTGGTGGCCTCGAAGGATTTCCGTCCACGACCAGACGGAAATCCCAAAGACACGGAGAACGGGGCACTTTTACCGAATAGCACCGCCACGACTATCCTACCGACGAATCCCGAATCTCTCGTCTAACATCGAATTTCGAGGAAACAAGATTCCGACAATTCCCTCTCTAAATATACTCCTCGCCGATCGATCTTCGTGCACCATCGAAAGACAAGAAAAAAAGAAACACAATTTCGAGAAGAATCGGTTTCTTATAATTTGTGCTTTTGTGGCCAGTGATCGTACAGTGAAATTCGAGATCGTACGTAGAAACTTCAGGGAAACGAATACTATTACGCGGACTTCATATTGAAGTCGTCAACGAGTTTGTAAAGTATCAACGAATAAATAGACGGTGGAACGAGCGCGGAAAGTAGCTGTATAGAACGACAAATAGATAGACGCGCGGATAGATCGCTTAGGACAACGATTTTATTATAGTAGATCGATAAGAAACGATCGTGAGATGAAAATGAACGGAGTCAAGCAAGTTGGACGGGAATGGCTGTGAAAGAATGATGATTATGTGTAAATAAGGAATCGAGTGGATGTGTGTATGTGTGTGTACATGTGAACATAAATGTGTTTTCGATCATGCATGCCTCGAGAGTACATCCCTAATCGTTGGACGAGGGGCACTACGAGAAAGATACCCTCTTCGCCCATCAAAGTGTATTTGCGTAGGCGGTGAGTTGTACGCGATAAAAAAATAGATACGTACACACGTATTAGACACGTGCGTTTACTCAACGATTCATTCAGAATTCAGAATGATTCCGCAGCACTCAATTAAGCGTTTTAATTCGCTCAAGAATCGTACATCATCGTGCGTTTCTCGTATAATGCTCCGATAACGTGACATCGATGGACAATTAAACGGAAGTTTAACCATCGAATGTTTCAACTAATTTACGAAACGATTAATTATAAGGACTCGTTATTATCCGTAACAAATACGAGATGATAACATCAAGGTGAAAAGTGTTCGTCAGCATCGATTCCATAGGACTTCTAGTCATCGTTACACCATCGATATCTGCCTCGATTCGACCAAATTTAAATATTTCTTGCAACAATTAACGATTTATCGTCAAAAGTGTACACTTGCGATTCTAGCGTTAGATGAGACCTTGATGATGACAATGGTAATAGACTGGACACGATCATTATAAATGGGTTATAACCTTCTCTCCTGCATCCTGTACACCCCGCAGATTTTGCTCTTGTACATCAATTACGACGTCATGGCGTACTAATAATTAATTAACTGGAATAATGACGGGACAATGGGCGGCTGGCACATCGATGGGAAGTAGCTAGTTCGATGATAAGCGGTTGCCCTCCTGGCCTACATTTAACATTTTCACAATGGACAATGTGCCAGCCGTAGTGCCGGAAGTTTTCTTTCGTCCCGCAGAAAACCGGAATCGATCGCGATTAATTGGGGAATCAACGAATCGGCACGTTGTTCTCCCTCGAACGTCTAGTATTGATACGTTAAACACACCATTCCAAAATTGCGCAGCCTGTTTAAACGTAACAGCGATATTATATTTATACGCGACTTTTATCACGAATTAAAATAAAAAAGAAAAAAATTGAATTGAAATAAACATTCATTGAAATAAAAAAGAAAGAAGCTTATGGAATTTTGAATTGTTTCTATTGTGATCATATAGAAAAAATTCCATCAAGATGAATTACATTTATACATCCTAATTCTTCATATTTGTAATCATTTCATTATATAAAATTAATTACGATATAATGCTCACTACAGATCAGATTTGAAGATATTGAAGCTTGATGATTATAAACTGATGATTAATAAGTTAATTACGGATTTCCATGCAAATGCATATTTTTCATATTTTACATAAATGATATAAATATAAAATGTTCTTTATACAAGTATTATAAAATTCGTTTGATTAATATCATAATTAAATCTGATAAAGATTCAACTTACTTCGACTTAAAGGATTTTTTAAATTAATTAAGAGTCTTCGATATTAATAATATTGTTATAAACAATACATTTTCAAAACTAAACATATCTATTATGTTTTATCTTAAAACATTTGAAATTTATCTTTAAAACTCGATTGAATCCTATTAAAATTAAGAAAAGTTTAAACCGCTGTAACTATGAAAATATTAATTTTCAGTCAATCAAAGAAAGACCATTAGAAGCGTGGAACTTTATCCTTTAAAATGCTTTTTAATTTATCTCGATATGACTTCCAGTTCCTGAGATATCGTCGTGTAAAGAAAAAGGTAATTTTTAATCGTTCATTATTTCCGTCCTTGTCACTTATTCACTTTCACTCGTACCTCGTCTCACTAACCTATCTCAAGTTTCAGACAAATAACAGACACGATTCCTGGAAAAACGTGGTACGCATTTTCAACAAAAAATGTTGGTCGCGAGCCCATTCATAATTTTCACACCATGTGTTAATTAACCTATGGATATGAATCCTTATATCTCGGTAACCGATTGAGATATCAGGATAAAACAAAAAGTGATTTCAATGGCATAGTTTCCTCTATGTTCCAAGTGGATTTTAACAACAAAATATTTTATTTTTTTTCATTATTTTTACATGAAAAATTGAAGTTTCATTTATGATTTGTATAAATGTAATGATGATGTGATATGAACTATACAGAAAATATATAATTTAGCATGAATAATATAACACGTTTTCTCTATATTAATCAATTTGAACATGTTTTAGTTAAAAATTTACGTATAATCAATATCACGAGTACACGTGTTTTAAGCTGAAATAAATTCCATCTAAGTTCATTGCAAGCTACTTATAAAATTATCGTCATATCATCCATTTCACGAATCGTTCACGAACATAATGTGGATGCAGCATAAGATAATTTGCCAAGAATAAAACGCGCGAATGAAAACGCGATAGATGATCGAGAAAAGGCGAAGGACGATTAAAAATATAGAAAGGAATCGAGCGTGTTTGAGAAAAAAATGCAAGGATCGAAGGATGAAACAGCAGGAATAACGATATGCAATGATCGTTAGTCGATCGATTCTCGATCAATTGCAATTGGATTCTCCTCGACAGGGTGGGGAGTCTATTTGAGGCGTCGCGACGCCGTGGTGCAATGATCAGAATCAGTCGGTAGGTCGTATCACGGCGAAAGGTGAAGAGAGTGGCCGTCAGAGAGAATCGAAAAAAAGTCTGTAGCCAAGCATCGTGCATGGCTGTGTGCTGATCACACTTCTGATATCGGAAACATTTCGAACTTTGAGGAAGTGGATCTTGTGAGGTGACCCAATTGTTTTCCTTTATCCTGGTAGAATGGCAGCTGACGACCCCCTCCGCAATGAACCTTTGGTTTCTGTTGAATTCGAGGTCTTTGGCAAGGTGCAGGGTAAGAGTGAAGTTTTATCGGGCAGAAGATCGTCGGGTATTCGGTTAATGTCGTTCCACTTGAAACGAGACTTTCGTTTGAACGTTTCCTCACGTTGCTTTAGCACGATTACGGGTAGAATTAATAGAACGTCAAGGTCGAAAGAAATGTGCGTTCGACGTAGTGATATGTCAATTGTAATATAGCACGAAACATTGGGATGATGGATGATAGGTATGGAGAACAAAATGGTAAGAAAAGCTAATAAATGGTTTCTCTTCTATTGGATTAAGGTATTGAAATAAAGATTGTGAATTTATTTTTTTGTTCTTCGTTCGATAGACAGATGACAAATCACTTTGAAATTCTACCGACACCGTAAGATGACACAATTCGGTTTAGTATTTCGCTATTAATATTCTCAAGGATATTTATTTTTATTTTATTTTTATTATTGTTTATCAACAAGTAATTATTCTTCTAAATATAAAAATTACTAAATAAAACACGCGTTAAGAAAACGGAATAAAAAGCGTATCTAGCGATAATAAAAAGAAAAGAAATATAAGAGTAAACTTCATCGATACGTTTTATTTTTTTTTTTTTTTAGTTCAATTCGATTGTTACAAATGACATCATTGGATATTTTCACATCGTGTTGCAACATTAAAAGACAGTAACCGTTAATTCGTGTGCTCGATCGTAATCAAAAGATTGGTATCAATTGAACGTATTTTCAGGTGTCTATTTTCCAAAATACGTGAGGGATATATGCCAACAATTGGGAATTTGCGGTTGGGTGAAGAACACGAAATCCGGCACGATACTCGGAAAAATGCAGGGACCACGTGCGCTCGTCGATCAGATGTGAGTTGCGATTCTTTGTCATAAAGCTTTTGCAAACCATCGGTGGCGCCAATTGGTAAACAGCGTGAAAGTTCATTTTTATTAAAATTTTATCTATCCCTCTGATTACCAAGAAATGAGAGATAAAATAAGATAAATTTGCAGAGAATATCTTCCCTCTTCTTCGTTTTTCTTGCCGCGCATAGAAACAATTCAAATGAAAAGAAGAAAATACCGAATTTGATTCCTTTTGATCCTTTTGATAAACCATTTGAAACATTTAAGTCAAAATTTCAAGCAAAAAAAAAAAAAAAAAAAAAAAAAAAA